CGCAGTGGCAGCGAGGCGAGCCGGGCGCGGCGCGTGTCATAAGCGAGTTTATGGGCGCCGTGCTTAGCTGTGTGGTGAATGTGCTGTTGGCATGCGAGCTGTATCACAACTTACTTTATTAGTGGATTTATATAAGTATTGTGTAAGAAAATTGTATGCTTTGCTGACAACAAGTGAGCTGAACAATCTAAGCTCATTTTACGCGACTAGTTTGGTTTGATTAATGGGCTTAGACTACAAACTTAATACGATATAGAGTCGCGGAGATGATTACCTCATGATATAGTTTCTATAAAATTATATGTTTAATTTCGTTTCCTAAACTTTTCAATCGAAGACTCAGACATGCATTTACACGTTAAAAAAATAAATCGTCTCCGTCATAGTACTTTTCACACCCTATCTAGTACATAATTTGTCACATTCACCAGACCCAACACAAAAACATGTCATCGACGCACTCCACTTTGTTCTTGAGAGGGCACACGGCTCCCTCCAATAAGCAGATCCCAGAGGGTACGTTCAAGTGCGACATGAAATAAAATTCACTTTATTCAAAAATTCTGGATAATATAAGATGGATGAATACTCCGAAAGGTAAAAATCCCTTGGGTTATGACGAAGATCGATTATGGATGAATAGAAAGTGAAATTATTAAGTTAGATTTCAAGTAACGGGTCTATTCCCACCTCTCATCTCCTGTGTAGCCAGGATCTACAGCTTGGCCGTCAATAAAAACCCAACCATACCTAAAATTCAAGTAAGTAGAACAATACATAGTAACAAATTATAAAATCTGGCAATCGAAAGATAGGAATAAATTCATGTCATTCTAAATACACTACTCTATGTGCATACAAGTTTGAAATAAATACATTTATAAACTAAGTTTCCCATTTTTATTCAAGTCTGATGCGGGATTTACTACAAACTTACTTGATAGAGACGTGCGTTCTCTCTGGAAGCACCTCAAATTGAGAAACGCGTTTGAACCTGTCAATCCAAGGTTTATCGGCTGTCCCCTATGGATACATGTCAAATCAAGGGCTCTGTACAGCCCGCCGTGTCTGCGTTGGGCGGGCCTGTCACTATTATTCGGATATATGTGTGCGTTACATGCCTTAATCAGAATACATTAAATTGACTGAGTAGGCTCGCTCCGTACAGGTAGATAATATTTACAATGATAATCCTTTTATTACTGACACACGTTCACTCCATAGAGTACCAGATTATCTTCTTCTTCAAGCTAAAATATCTATATTATTTCTGTAGTCTATTCATAATACTGGTAGTGGGAAAGCACCTCTAAGGTTTCACAATAGATAAAAGATTATTTTATTATGAAATGCGAATAAATACCATATTTTCTGGGGTACAGATTACCTGAAATACGCAAGGAAGCTCTTATTTTGCACGGAACGTAGATTAGATCTTTTTATATTACGAATATAGGAACATACATGGGTCTTCTGCGCTTTAGTGTCGTGCGGCTTAATCCACACGTGAGTGTCTCGCGACATGAATATTCAACAGGTCGCAAGATCGGTCCGCAAACATATCACCGTAATATCGGGCGGACGTGATATTTGCCGCCACATAATCCACCTACTCGAATAACTATCTCATTTCATCTATATTCAACGAACTGTTAACTGTAAAAAACGTGCGTGATTGTATAATTCGCATACAGTGTCAGACCTTTGCATGAGCATGGCAGTTCAAGTTTTGACCTACTCATTGAAGTGTCAGGCTTAGTCCTAAGCTGTCCTAATTTCTAAGAATTGGACCACAGCGCAACATAATCGCATTAGTATAAATTGCTACCGAAGTACCAATATGACGACTGCCTGCTCGGCAGACGAATGACCGGTAACGAATACAACTGGACAAAAAAGAATACTGACAGAATGTATCAAAACTCACAATGAAGTCATGTACGTAAGTGCATGGTGGTCCAAAAAGTCTTGTCCTTATGGAAAAAGAAAATAGTGTAGTAAAGGCAACTACTCTGAACATGGCTATCCTGGTTCGGTTATGCGAATGCATATTTAACGGCTAGTGGTCAGAGCTCAGGACCTCATTATAAATGTAAACAAGGGCGGCTGATGGATCTGCCGGCCTACCCTTTGAATCGTGATGAGTTTACAAACAACTATAATTACATACTTTGTGATGATAAAATATGGAGAACAGGTATATTTTTCAGTGATAGGGTCTATGGATCTGCCATACAGTTAACCCCATGTGTTAAAATTATTACCACTTCTTCTTCTTCTTCTTTGGAAGATTTAATGAAGACAATGCCATTCTTGTGGCCGAGTTTTGAGCTGACGCTGTGTATGTTTTTGTCGACACGACAAGAAGAATTACCACTTCGAAGACTAATTTTTCAAAAATAGTTCCGAAAATATCGTTTTCTGTATTGATTCAAGCAGGAAGCGACATCTACAAGTATAATCCATCATCAATTCTTGTAAGACGAACGAATGAGACGTTAATTGCCAAACTCTTGCGTTGTGATGGGACCCTTATTCACTATGGAGGCTCTCCCCACAGAGATGAATGATTGATAGTGTATTGACAAGGCTGACTCATTTGCCTTCCACGAGCTAAATATTCATTGAGACCGGGCTTATTACGAAATGCTATAGAAACGGGCGGCGAAATCGCTATCAAACATAATGACGTATGGATCAAAAATAATTTTCGATTGTCTCGCACTCATCATAACAACACCACTGTTAATAACACGGCGCTAACTAGCTGTAAACTAATCAAAACATGTACTATGGATGAAACAATTGGCAATCAGTAAAAAACATGATAAAAGCTTACGAACATACATTTAATGCTGATAGAAAGGAACGAAGGAAAACCATTGCTCTCAGTTTTAACTTTTTTAAAACTTAGTTGCCTTCACACTACCAATATTACTACTGTGTAACATTTCGTTTTCATAACGATTATGCTTAATTTCCTTCACGTAATAAGGATCGGGGTATAAACATTCACCCGGGTCCGCTTAAGTTTGCACGGCGAAATTAAATGTTTGCTCTGCAGTATAGAGTCCGGTGTTTGATTTGATTTATATGGCACCCCAAATGTGTTTGAATTAAGTGGAATCTGATGGCTGTCCCAGCCAACTTTATAGTATGGCAGTATCACTGAATAATTATTCATTCAAACTTTGTTGATTCTGTCTCTTCATTAGTTTGAGTATGTAATGCGTAAGTCGCTGAATTTCTGGAAAATCATACTTACGAAGGAGGAAGGAAATGAGGCTAGCTTTGGTTAGCTTTATATAAGGTTACATTTATATAACAAATCTCTAAAATACTTAGTAAGCTCATTCGTTAAGCATTCTTTAATTACATACTTGGGATAGACAGAGACGGATGCTTTAAGTTCGCTGTTACCTCTTTCGTTCTTAGGGTTGCCTCGCGCAGCCGCGAATATAATATCCGAGTTACATAATGATAAAAATATCCTATGTATTACAGCATTTTTACATATCTTAGAAAACAGTCTGGTTTTGATGTAGAAAATAATGTAAATAAGAATAAGAATAAGAATAAGAATAAATTTATTACTTAATAAAACTTAGCCTAGATACATTTGATTTCACTTACTTAAATTAAGGTTAGTGTGCGAAGGTAAAATTATTAATACCTAAACTAAGCAAAATTGTTTGCCTGTGTCTTAGGTATTTTATTAAAAGTAGGTTAGTGCTAGGCTAGTAATAGAAAACGAGCCTAACTACGTGTAATACAACCTTTTTAATAGACTATGTCAGTATTGTAGAAAAATGTTTGTAGCCCGGCAACCCTCTCGCGAGAAAGATGGGCTAAAATATTCATAATAACAATGATCCTCCGCTCCACCCCTATCTCCCCCGAGCCTGATGAAGTGCGGCGGAGATCGGCCACTTTTAGCTCGTTATTTTTCGAGTGCTGCAGATTCATAATAACGTATACAAATATGCATGAAAAGGTCACGGTAACCCTTTTTTGTAGCCTACACAGCTGAATAACAGAAGGATAAATTGTAAAAGTGCAATTGAGAGGGCGATGTTATACAAGGCTATGGCGGTTATCACACTGCGCCGCGCTCCGCCTCGGAGCGCGTGATTTCATATAAAAAATCACGCGCGCGGACGCGTTGTCAGTGTGCAGTGCCGCGCGTGTTTTCCATACAAACTGAGGTACTTGCATACAATTATTAAATCTGTCGCCCCGCGCTCCGCGACGGAGCGCGGCGCAGTGTGATAACCGCCTATATGCTACATAAAAAGTTACGATTTTTATTTTAAAACCAATTCAACTATCTAAATCTATTTTACAGACCGTATAAGAGCCTAAATAATATAATCTAAGAAAATGTTAAAACCTTTTCTTGATCAGCAACAGCGTGATAATGTTTTTTAGATTTATAATATCTTTACGTAGCAAGTTGGTGTAATTTGATAAAAGTTTCAAAATTACAGAAGTTTAAAACTAAAACTTTAAACAGGTTTATGAAAAAGAAAATGACGAAAAGTAACGTATTTTATAAAATTTATCCCAACACAGGACAAAAGGACGTAAAAAGGTTAAATCTAGCCAGTAGACCCTCATAACAAGGAAAACTACTCAGCACTAATAAATAAAATAATTCGTTCCGAAACAGGCCGCGCCCGGTTGCATGCGAAGCGCATAATTATGCACTCGCGGCGCAGACAGGCTAAATCTTTTATTTATGGTCGCGACATCAAAGACCAAAAGGCTACTCTGGCCAAAAACCAAGCCAACTTATGCTGTTGTAATAGAAGTTATTTTGCAACAAAAGTATACCCTAACATGCTGTGGGCTGTACATAGGAATATTCAGCAAGGGAGTGCGGAAAAGTGTATTTTTATAACGGCCTAAAGGAAGCCAGTTTGAAAAAATAATTCGGGTTTAAAAATACACGATGTTATTTTGAGGGCTGTTGTTTGTTTACGATAGCGTGGAACACTCACCAACTTCTTGAATCACGTCACCAGTATCTGCAACAAAAGATTTATTTATTAAAAAAAATATTCAAACGACAGCAGATAAAATTTAAATGGTATGAACGAAAATCGATAAAAATGCAATGACTAAATAACAGCTGTCTATACAGCTGTTAACAGGTGTCTGAGTGCGCTATTGAAAAGCTCTGTTGAAGAGCTAAAAAAGTGCCGATCTAATGTATAACCATGTAAAACAAAGCTGTGTAGTTTTTCTTATGTAGGTAGTTGACATAGGTACGCGTTTACAACAGAAATATAATACGGTCATATGTGCTGTCGGCTATACAGGGATCCCGCAGACCAGTCTCATTAAAGTAACAAAAACGTCGTAGTATGCGACCCTCGTAGCCGTAGCGCATCTCGTAGTAATAGGTACGCGACTACGAAAACATAAAATACAAATACTTTAGTACGTTTCGGCGCTTGACCTTCAAACCTGCACTGCACATAAAACCCGGGCAAAGTATCATTAAAGAGACAGTGGTACAACCTCGTAGCCGTAGCTCGTAGCACTTGCGTAGCTCGTAGTAATTGCTACGAGAATAGAGGTGTAAATATACCGGCGTACTCGTAAACGTGACCGCGCATGTTTTAAACACTTGCGAGCTTTTAAGAGATATTATAGACATTTGCGAAAAGAAACACTGAAGCTTCAAATCTGAAAGCGTCTAGAATTTACGATGAGTATAATACTTGTCGTTCCATCACGTCGTAAGTAAAAAATGTAGTAAAATATAATTCATAGCGATTAAATCTGCGTCTCACAGCACCTGTCTGAATATTTTTGATGACAAAGGAGGTCGTTTTTTAGTCGCAATCAAGCCGCGTCAGGAGCAGGCAGCTTTCAGGTGAGCCTACGTCAGAGCTTACGGCTGCGGGTGACTGCTGTCTATTTGCAGACATAATTAACCAGAGCGAACCCTGTTAGAGAAATAAATAAATGACAAATAAATAATTGGCTGCCTACGAAATTTTAAATACGAAGCGCTTTTTTCCGAAAAGTATAGGATTAAAACTCAAGATAATTGACCCCCGGATCGTCTAGCTATTATAGTGACATGATTCGTTTACAAATAGTACTTGGTATAATTAGTACAGTTCAGTGATTTATGTTACCTTAACCCTTGGAAGAGTGTACGCTAGCTATCTTTAACTCGAATGAGTACATACGTACTTATTTATTCAGTGACCTAAGAACACTTATAGAATGTCTACAAATTCAATTGTGCCTATAGAAGGCATCGACGCGTCCCATTTTAACGACAGCGAAATCTTTATTTGCGAGAATCGAGCGCGTCCCTAATTCCCGGGAATGTAGCAGAATCCCGGGCAAGTTCCAGTGTCCCGGGCTTCACGGGAGCTCAAAAACACATTAGTTTAGATCCCCGTATCTAAGTCGAATCAGGCTTTTCTGAATTAATGATTGTTATTTTACGGGGCTCGCGGAATAAAAGTTTATTGTCACGCCTTTACGTGTTTGATAGCGGGATGAAACATAGTACGTCACCCTGTCGAAATTTTCAGGTTATTTTTACGTGGAGAACCAGGGTCATGTTATTTTAGTAGTAGGTACTTAGGTATTTGCTACCCCTAACCATCTATTGAAGGTCGCATTTTGTCGGTTAAGTTCTATCATCACGTAAAGTAATTTTTTGGCGGTTTTGATATTTTTATGCCATTCGCTAGACTAGAGAATCGAAATACGCGACGTTTCGTCCAATCTCCTGAAAAGTTGCTAAAAATGACTTATGTGGTGATAGAACTTAAACGACGATTTACTAAATATATTTAGCATACCACGAGTAAATGCAAAAAACCTGACAACCACAAAAAAGTGTTGGATAGCAAACACAAATAAGTCAAAAACCACATCAATTACTGTCGCCCGCCACATCAAATTAGCAAGTCCGTTGAACCTGGGGGTAGACATACTTACCTGTTCCGCAGCCGGTCGTGCTGAGCGGAAATAAACCAGACGGAGGTGCCACCGGCAAAAACCACCGGAACGTTAAATTAACGTGTGCATTCTATTCTGGGCTTTAGGCTGCTTTAATATTAAATGCTTATGCCATGCCAAAACCTTATAGTTTACCACATGGCAAAGGCAGACAGGGTGATTTCAAAATAATGTTTTATGTAATAAGTTACACTTACAACAGTTAGCACGAGAACGACTGCCGACAAACTGTTCAGCAGTTTGGCAGATTAGTATTATGTAAAATCGATGTAACTTTTATGAGATAATAAATAAAAAAATAAAAAACATTATTACCTGAGGAAATTGAGTGTGACTAATCCTTAAATGGGAACTGAGTTAGATGATGTAAAGACTGATCTACACACGCAATGTGCTTAGTATATGAAGCGAACACATAATAATGTTCGAACTATTATGCTATTGTGTGGGACGCCACGTTTCTAAGTAGATGGACTTGGAAAGGTTTTGCTTTAATTTAACCAAAGCAAAAGCAGTATCGTAACCGGAAGGAAAATGTTGATGTTGTAATTTTCCAATCTTCAAAGTTCAAACAGTTACAAAATTGTTCACTTTATTGAAAACGTTTTAACGGCTTCGAGGTTGACAAATACGCAATAAACCCTTCCAAAAACACGCCGAAACATTTTCCTCAGCGAAAATAATCACAATAGAGGGAAAACGTCCTTGGGATTGCGCATTTTCTATTTGGAGATTTCTCCGATGTTTTTCCAGCCAAATCTAAGCAATAGCCATAGTATAAGGAAAATATGTACAGTATGCTCACTTTTCATCAAACATGCTACACTCTTTAACCAAAATTAATTAAATACGATATTCGTCGAGACAAACAAGACACAACACCAACAAAAACTAATAGCTACTTAAATTGTTTACTTAAACCGTAAACTAATTCAATTTTGGTTACGATCCTAACTAAGTTGATACCATGGCCTCATTGGCGTCCAAGTTATAGTTTTCTATTTACCTTAGGGCCCTCGCACACTGTTCAAAGGTTTTCAAAGGAGATTGAGTAACACAGAATTTATGTAAGTACTTACTGTCGAGAATTCCTAAAGATATCTGAATACAACCTTCTGTGTACACTAGTATTATGTCTCCAAACAGTGGAAATTCGGCGAGTTTCAATTCACGTGGCTTCTTGTCCGGTGAAGGGTTCGCAAACAATTATTTTCAGAGCCAAAATCTATTTACAGAGGACGAAAAGTTTTTATTTTAGAACAGTTTGCGATGAATAAAAACCCACACAATGTCATACCCGACCCACGTCATAAAATACAAAACAAAAGGTGAAAACAAATATTTAGTAAGACCTTTTTGTAACATATCAAAATGGTCTTTTTTGTATTTTTGAGTTACTTTATTTTGGTCCCTAAGGATTTTTATAATGATGTCAAATGATCCACGCCAACGACCAAGTATTTTCATTAGGTGTCAAAAGATGATAAAAATCTATTGGTCAATAAAAAAATAATAATCACACACTAGCTTTGCTGGTTAGATAAGCTGAACTGTAACTATTTTAACATCTACCTTGTTGTATTACCTTGTCTCGGTGAATAAATACTTTTTTTTTAATCTTTTGCGCTTTAGACCACCGCCACGAAGGTCGTAGTGTTAAATACCTAAAGAGGCTACTATGATGAGGCTAATTGTACGAGTGGGTAAGTATTATTTGAATAACTTATTATCCACATTACCTACGTAATTGGCCTATTAAGTAAATGCCTTCAGAACTACGTCGTCCTCGGCCCGCCATCCACATTGCCCACGTCACAAAGACCCGAAATTGTCGTCACATTTTTTATGAAACCGACATAATGTCCACGTTGTCCTTCGTCATAAATTTTGGGACTCATAAGTTTTATCCACACAATAATGCTAGCATTAGTCGCAAGGCTAAGTAGGGCCTTGAACTGGACCTACTTTTGAATGAGATATATCGGGAGATCGGCGGGACTTAATCATATTTTTATTATGTCTTTCCCACTTTCTAAACTCTTTGCTATTTTTCTCATAGTTACGGATTTTAAAACTTAATTGAAAAATACACTTTATGCTATTGTATTCTTGACCTTTTCTGTAGCTGCAATGTATGATAAAAACACAATTAAAATGTGGAGTTCTTTAGAAAATTAATAAGTTTTATATTCCAAAGGTATCTGAAATGTGTATTATTTATTACTTCTCGTGAGCAAAAGATTTAAAAAATTCATCGTTTCACATTCCAAAAACCCAAAATAAAGAATTCAACCTTCAGTATCATTTCAGTATTTCGCAAAGTATCCCACAGAAAAGGTCTGATAAAAAACGTCCACACATTTTTTATCATCCGGCTAATGTGACGCAGGGCGACTCCGCCCCTCGTCAGCCCTCGGAACAACAGCTCGCGGTCATTCATGTTACCTGATAGTTTGTTTAGGGTCCCCAGTTATGGTTTGGGGGAGAGCAGAGGGAAAAGTTTGTATGTCTGGTCGCAGTGAGCTTTGGAGGATTCGTAACAATAATTTTCGGTCATCAATTTATTGTTTTAAAAATAGACGATGGATGTGTAAAATTATCGGATTATTTTATGTTTCTTTAACCACATTTTGATCTTGAGCATATTCTTACTGAGAACCTATTATTTATGAGTATAAAACAGAAACGCCTAGCAATTACCGATTGGGCTTAGAAAAAACAGTGGGCTGGAATTGGGCTTAGAAAAAAAACTGTCCTTTTATTATTACTACAAAGTTATAATATCTTGGATTTTAGTTCCTTCATGGAAATTGAGCATTGTCATCAGTGTACAATAAGCATAACACATATAATGTGTACATATGTGAGGATAAATCTCAAGGCGGTAATGTAAAGGTTCTTACGTCATAATCTGATGACCGATAGCTCAGGAAGGGGATTTTAGGCCGTTGTTATGCTTAATGGCTTTTACAATACTCTCGTAAGACGATTATGCTTATTATGATTATAATATTGCCGAAAATATGAAAAAAAAAAG